TGACCCTGGCTCTGACTCACCCTGTGCCGCCAAGTGACCGCAGCGCAATGCGCCTCGTTTTCCCCTGGGCTTAATTGGGAATAATAATAGCCCCCACAACAGTGTCCCATGCGGCGCTGAGCGTCTCTCTGGGATGAAAGGACTTCACAGATGCTAATTATGACCACTGGGATGACAGGACAGGATGTTATCATCGGGTTGATGTTTTGCTACCTGCACTGGAAACACTAAACTGAATATTAGCTTTACTTGAAGGCTACTTGTTATGGAGCTTCCCCAGGAACTGGATTTATGGAGCTTATAAAAATGGTATTAAACTGCTTACCTGCTCTCTGACGCCAGCCTGATCCCTAAAACCTTGGGTCGGATCACTGAACATTAAAAAGGGCGTTGTTCAGGGGAGTGAATCGCAATGAAAGTTGGAGAAATCCAGGATGGATTTAGTGCTTTTTTCTCCAGTTGTGGAAAGAAGATAAGCCTAGAGAGCATTTTTCCCTTGAAATGTTGACATCAACTGGGGAAACAGGCATTTTGTCTGCAATTTTTTTTTTCTAGGATACTGAGGGAGATTTTTTTGGTTGGAAAATCAGAAGTCTCAGTCACAAACAAACCTTCAGGCTTCTGGACTTTCTGGTGAAAACAGAAACAGAAAATTTACTCAGTGGTTCATAAGCCGGAGAGCAATATTCTGCTTCAAATCACAGAATCATTTAGGTTGGAAAAGACCCTTAATATGGTCCAATCATAAATATAACACTGCAAGGATCCATCAATAAACTGTGTCCCTTAGCACCACGTCCACACGTCTTTTAAATCCCACTCAGCAGCATCCCCGGTGCTTCATGTCGGTGAGAAATTTTCCACCTACTCCATTACAGGTTAATTTATTTCACCTCTTTTTGTTTCAATGTGTGGGACCTCGCCTGTATTCCCAGTGTGCTGGAACCCAATTCAGAGGTGTCAGATTTGCATGAAAGGAAAAAAAAAAAGAATAATGCCAGGGCTTTGGCTTATGCAGATATGACTACCTAAAAATGCATTCCTTGTCAGCAGTTACGATCGTGCCACTGTTAATTTTCCCTTGGGTTTATTGGTGGCACAAACAGGGAACAAAGGGAGTGGTGACTGGTGCAGAGACCGTGTGGCAGAGCAGGAAATGCGATTTGTGTTTTCAGGACAGGAGCTGGGGTTTGATTCAGCCGCCTTTTCCCCGGGCCACCCCAGCGCTCCCGCTCCTCCCTCCTCCTCTTTGTTGTGCCGGAAAAGCGTCACCTCTTTCAGCAGGTTATTCACTTGGTGGCAAGTCCTTTTTAGTAGCCGTCTTGCCCTTAGCCCAAGGCTTTCTTGCTCCTAATCATCCTGCTCTTCCCTGGGCTCCCTGTGTAAGTGAAGGAAGTCTGCATGCCAGAGTAATTATGGTCTGCAAAAAGTTGCCAAGAGTCCTTCCTGAATGGTATTTTCAAAGGCAGCAAAGGGATTGATGCAGGCAGGTCCCATGGAAATGAGGAGTCCCTTGGGCAGTCCCTTTGGTGGTCTCCAAACTGCAGTCTTTCTGGGTGGAAAGGTGTGTTTTAGATGGCCTGGATTTGCTATGGGCAGGCAGGGAGGTCTGGGCACCATGCATGGAGATTCGCAGCACAAAGAGCATGAGCAGTCCCTGCACAGGGTGTCCTCTGAGGGTGGTGAGACACTGGTGTGAGACAGGGTGTCTTCTGCTTACTCTGAGGGTGGTGAGAGCCTGGCCCAGGTTGCCCAGAGAAACTGTGGCTGCCCCATCCCTGGAGGGGTTCAAGGCCAGATTGGATGGAGCTTGGAGCAACCTGGTCTGGTGGGAGGTGTCCCTGCCTAGGGGAGGAGGTGGAACAAGATGGTCTTTGAGGTCCCTTCCAACTCTAACGTTTTCATGATTCCTTGGCTTGCCATGGGCTTTGCTGGTTCAGCACGTTGCATCAGGAGGTTGCCCCTCATGGGGGTAGATGTCCCACCAGTGCTTGGTGGCGATGGCAGCCCCGCAGAGCGAGGACAGCCATTCCCGCCAGCATGAAGCCACACGTGGCTGGCCCAGGACTGGCAGGCAATTAGAGCATCACCCAACCAAACTGCCTCACTCCCCTAGGGCACTTATTCACTGTATAAAAGCTCTAGCATCGCGGGGCTCTCCTAGGCACTTCTCTCCGGTTGTTCTCACTGATGAAGTGGGTAAGTCTGGCTTTTAATGGAGCTCCTGAAATGCTGTTTTATTCCTGGGTGGCCGGAGCAGGCAGAGGTTCTGCCTGTGGACTCGCAGAGAAGCATCCTCTGGGGGATGCTGCCTTCAGCATCGGCATGAGCGGCTCCGACAGCGGGAGCATCTCCTCTGTGCTAAACTGAAGAATATTGGGAAAGCACTTCCAGATGGACTGTGAAGTCGGGAGTGGGATCTGGGGGCTTTTCTTCGTTTTCGGTTAGATCTAGTCCTAAGGAGGCTAGTCCAAAGGAGGCTCTTGGCTACAGGAAGGGCCTGATGCTGGCGGGAGTCAGAGATGAGCTTGCACACGGAAAGGCAACTCCTCTAAAGGAAGTGGCATGGAGAAATTTGCTGCCATTTAATGGAATTTAAACAAAAGGACTTTTCAGATGCTGACCAAGTTCAGTGCCAATGCGGACTCTCTAGCTAAACCTGAACACTTTGAAATATCTACCTTAGGGTAAAAACTGATAAAAATAAGTCTGAGATGCAAACAACTCCCTGGAAGTAAATAATCCCTCTACTTTAGAAGTTTTTTATCTTGATGAGCATCACCAGATACTTTCTTATTGTAGATCTAGTAGTAGCAATTGCTATCATTGTTTTTCAATGGGTTGGTTTTATTAGCTGAAGATTATTATAATTGTAGTGATAATAAGTTTTCCTAATGACAGTAACACACAGCATTGTTATTGTCAATAGTCACACAGTGATAGGCTTTTGGAAGATAAAACACCTTACTGTAATTGTAGCCAGAACAGGGGTGTTCAGAAAACGCAGTTTCTTTACAGTCATTTAATTATACGCCTTAATCTCAAAAAAATGTCAAAAAAGAAAAAAATATTTTCTATTAGAATACCTTTCACGTGTCCGTGGTTCCAGTACCTGTTCTGCTCAAATTAATCCTGTTAAAAACTCAGAAAACTCCCCGAAACTGGGGTTTTCCAGAGGGGGGAATGACTTGGGATGGTTTCTCCTATGGCTCTTGGGACCAAGGCAACATGTGACATTTCACAGAGGTTTTGGGAGGAAACTATGGACCATGGTGCCACCCATTCCCTTCCCCAGGGATGTGGCCTCGACTAAACTCCCCTCCATGCTGCTGGCACAGGGGCTGCCAGGATGACATTTCACTATTAGAGCTGTTCCACCAGGCAGTTCAGCTGCGGGTCTTTGGGCTACCACAACAAAACCAGGGCACTGTGGCTTGGTCTGAAGGTAGTGCAAGACTGGAGGCTGCTTTAAATGGGTGGACTTCTCTCAACTCATTGAAACTTGACCAGTTAACACCAGCTGAGGTTTTTGCCTTGAGAGCTTCTCCTTTCCTGCTGGGGTTTTACCAAATACTTAGAAACCATTCTGTTGTATTTCCTTTTTTTTCTTTTCTTGAAGGTGCTTAAAGAATAGTATGAAGCTGGGACTGCACAGCTTGCAGAGGCAGCGAAGCTGGTGCTATGGTAGTGAGCTTGGAGCCTGTAATTGAATGGTGCCAGCCCTGTGGGAGTGTGAATTGGCAGGCAGGCAGGCAACAGGCAGGTGGGCAGGTCATACGTGCTGCCACAAACCTATCCTTACCCTTGGTGAGCTAATTTAACCTCAGCTTGGGTTTGCCCGTATGAAGGGCAGCCACACCTGAGTATTACAGCACGGACACACCTTTAATTTTGGCTTGCCTTTCATCTAGAGTGCTTGGGAGTTGCAGGACTTCAAGTGGGGACACAGGAGGTTTCCAGGTAGTGAGGCAGAGGGTCGCAATGTCACCTCTCCTTGGTGAAATGCTTTGATGGACAGTTACCCTGCCTTTGAAAGGTGACTTGAAAGCTCCCCAGTTTGCCTGGCTCCAACCCTTGAATGTTTCTGGGCTCTTAAGAGAAGGGTGTGGGGACAAGAACTGAGAACAGACTCTCAGCTGCTCACCTGGGTAATCACAGCCTGGTCTTGAGTCACTGAGAGCCTCTGACCTTCAGGAGAGCCAGGGTGTGGGCTCCACCATGTAGAAATGCCTGTGGGGAAACACCAAGTCCTACATCACCCAAAATAGCCAATGTCTGTGTGAACTGTCTGTCTTTTAGTATGAAGCTGGGACTGCACAGCTTGCAGAGGCAGCGAAGCTGGTGCTATGGTAGTGAGCTTGGAGCCTGTAATTGAATGGTGCCAGCCCTGTGGGAGTGTGAATTGGCAGGCAGGCAGGCAACAGGCAGGTGGGCAGGTCATACGTGCTGCCACAAACCTATCCTTACCCTTGGTGAGCTAATTTAACCTCAGCTTGGGTTTGCCCGTATGAAGGGCAGCCACACCTGAGTATTACAGCACGGACACACCTTTAATTTTGGCTTGCCTTTCATCTAGAGTGCTTGGGAGTTGCAGGACTTCAAGTGGGGACACAGGAGGTTTCCAGGTAGTGAGGCAGAGGGTCGCAATGTCACCTCTCCTTGGTGAAATGCTTTGATGGACAGTTACCCTGCCTTTGAAAGGTGACTTGAAAGCTCCCCAGTTTGCCTGGCTCCAACCCTTGAATGTTTCTGGGCTCTTAAGAGAAGGGTGTGGGGACAAGAACTGAGAACAGACTCTCAGCTGCTCACCTGGGTAATCACAGCCTGGTCTTGAGTCACTGAGAGCCTCTGACCTTCAGGAGAGCCAGGGTGTGGGCTCCACCATGTAGAAATGCCTGTGGGGAAACACCAAGTCCTACATCACCCAAAAACCTCAATGTCTGTGTGAACTGTCTGTCTTTTTCCTGCTTTTCTTTCAGGCATAAGCACCTTGCGTGACCATGCACTATTATGGGGAGCGGTACAAATACGTCTACCTGCCGGAGACGGGCTACATCACCGAAACCATCCAACAATGCACGCCCCAGTCCGATATGTGCAGCACCACGTGCCACCCGCTCAGCGTGATCAAGAGCCCAGTGCCCAGATGGCAAAACTACACGCAATCTTTCTCTTATGTGTGCCCACAGCCAGGTGTGACCCAGAGCTCCCTGCTGCCCTGCCAGCCCTACGTGCAGCAGTGTGTCCTGCTCTACCCCGAGCCGTGCGAGACCACTCGCCTTCTGCCCTGCAGAAAGCCCAGCCTGAAGCTGAGCCCTGTGCAGAATTTCCAGCCCTGTGAGACCAGTTGCACCGAGAAGAAACGTACGGCCAAGAGCCTCCCACCCTGCGCCCCCAGGTGCCCCGAGCCCGGCAAACTCAAGTTCCCACCGTGTGGGATCAAGTACTCATCCTCGTGCAAGAACGAATGCAGGACACAGAAGATATCCAAATGCTCGACGCAGGGGTACGGCGCGGAGCTCCGGTCCCCACAGGGGATGACCAGCGGCTATTCCCTGCCATTGAGGGGAGTCACTGAGTGTCCCCCGCAGCAGTGCGTAACCCAGTCTTTCCTGCAGGAGTACGTGAGCGGGTTCCCCCAGCAGAAGTGCATGAAGGGTTACCCGACGCAGGAGTGCATCACCACTTACTCCTCCCAGCAGTGCATAACCAAGTGCCCACCCAAGCCGCAGGTCCCCAAGTGTCCCCCCGGGCAGGGGATAAAGGAGTGCTCCACGCAGCACCACGCAACCAAGTGCTTGCTGCCACAGGAGGGAATCAAGCACAAGAGCTCTTCGACGCAACACCTGAGCAAGTCCAAGTGCCTCTACCCACGGGCCACCCAGCACTCCTCCCATCATCACACCGGGGGAGCGAAACGTTCGGGCCACACCAAGAAGAGCCGCTGTGCTTCCAAATGGCTCTGCTAAAGGAGATAAAGAAAGAGTTGTGAGAACAGCAACCTATGTAGCTGAGGTCTGAGGTTATTTTTCCCCCATTCCTAGTCCCCAGAGAAGCTTTAGCCTTATTTTACCCCTTATTTTATCCATGTAAAACTCGTAGAGTGCTATCCCTTCCTTTTATGACCACACTTCAGTTATTCCTCCAACAGAAAAGATGTTAGTGAGAAGCAAAGTAATTCTGAGCAGGTGCTTGGGCTTTCAACATCAAACCGATACAACTCTGTCACTACCTTCACACCACAAGAGGTTTTTACTGTAACTGGATCAATTATATCTGCCGGTTGTACCAGTCATATTAAACTTAGGTTGCAGCTGGATTCTTGCTCTCTGTCTGATTTATTTTCCCTTTTAAAAACCTGTTTCTAATAGCTGCTACTGGGAAAAAGTATTCCCTGCTGTTTTCACTGAATTTTTTCACTGAATTTTTAGAGTATATCACTCTTTTCTGTAAAATAATGACAGCAATGGTGTTTTTAGGAGTAGATTTACCATCTGTGGGAAGAGATCTTGGTGTTGAAAAGTTACCCAGAGACATAGTAAAAGCAGTGGCACAGGGTGGTATTAGAAGGTGGCTCAACTAAAGTAATGAGACTCATTAGTAGCCCTCAGACAGGAGTTTACTGTCCACCTAGGCTTTGCTTGGTGGCACCAGTGTCACATGCAGGTCACACAGGAGAGATTTCAGTCCTACACCCCAGGACCAGGACTATCTTCCCCCCACAAATTGCTCTGCAGTTTTGTCCCTGGACAAACCAGTGCTGAGCAGATTATGGAATGAGCCATGTGGGATAGTCCCTGGCAGAGCAGGAGGCAGAGAGGATGCTGCAGAAAGGTCTTCTCTGGTGCTGTGACCCTGCACTGGCCCTCCCTGCACTGGGTGGGTGATCACCATCAATAGTCTGTGGTTATAAAACTCCAACCAGAGGGAAATCTAAATTTCAGTTCCAGCTGTTCCTTGACAATAATATTTTGGTAGGGAGCAGGAAATAGAATGGAATGGTTCAGGTTGGAAGGGACCTTAAAGGTCATCGAGTTCCATATAGTTCCATATAGTTACTATGTAGGGTTCAAAATTGTCATTGTTCTTGGTCAATGTGTTGGGTTCAAAATTGTCATTGTTCTTGGTCAATATGTTGCTTTCTATGTGTGTGTGTGTATATATATATATGTATATGTAAGGGGCAAAGTCCCAAAGCACCTTTCCTTGCCCACCTGCCATACACCATAGGCTCTCCCAGGAGGAGGTCCTGGGGCAGAAGCTCTCTACCACCATCTAAAGGTGCACTGGGAGACCCAGCAGCTCCTCCCGTGGCTGCTCAGCCAGCTCCCTGGGCAAATCCCAGCAGGAAAACCTCCTCCTATCTCCTTGCCTTCCTCTGTAGAGCCCCAAACAGGCCAAGTAGGATTTCCATAGACATCTTTTTGCAATAAAGTGATAGATTTGCCTGTAAACACAGAGACTGATGTTACCTGCAATCCTCCAGGATTAGGAGGAGCTTTGCTCCTCTCTGTGGCGAGAGGGAATTCTTTTTAACTTGTAGTTAGTCACTAATCCATGGGAATTAAATGAAAGAGAGAGGAGAAGTCTGAGCAAGTAGCTCCCTCCTGACTACCTCGGATGGGATCCATCCCTTTCTTATACCAGGCCAATGTAAAACCTGGTTCCCCTCTGCCCTCACTCACCCCAGGCACCAGCACACACAGGACAGTCCTGGGGGTCTAGAACCATTCGAGGGAGATGGAGGAAGATGGATAATTGTGACAATTAAGGTCCAGGGGAAGTTGTCCCACCTGCATTTATCCCACTTGCTTGGTTTAAAAGGTTCTGCTGATCTCAGTCTCTCTTGGTCCTGAAAGGATGCATCTCCCCTTCAGTTAGCATGGGGAAGATGGCATTCATCATCAGAAAAGGGTTTTCTTTTAAAAATCTGAGCTTCTGTTTCTCTGGTTTTGCTCCTAATAAAGGGGTGATAATATAAAAACTTAAAATAACCTCTAAATGACGCTTGAATTTTTCCTGTCTCTCTGCATGGGGATGGTTTTTACACTCTCTTGTTCCTTCTCTGCTGCTGCTCAGGCAGCAGACCCTGCTCTGCCTCATCAAATGGATCCATGAGTGGGATCTGTTCCTGGAGAGGTCATGAGCCCTGCAAAAAAGGAGGACCTGGTGGCCCAAAAGGTGACATGAGGCAGTGCTGCAGCCTTGTGGCGGTGAAAGCCAAACACAGGCTGGGCTGCCTGAGCCAGAGCGTAGACAGCAGGAGGACAAGAGGCTGGATTCCCCTCCAACTGGCACTCAGGATGTCACATCCAGACCTCCATGACCTCCCTGACAGCTCAGCAGAAGAGCCATGGACACCCAGAAGTCCAATGAAGGCTGTAGGGTAGTCAGGGCACTGGGTGCAAGATGAGAGAGGCTGGGAGAGCTGGGTATGTTTGCCCTGGAGAAGAAAACACTGAACGGACAGTTTTATTACCACCTTCACCCACCAAATGAGTGTTTAGAGCAAAGATGGGCTCTACTCCAAGGTGAACAGTGAAGGGGGGGAGGAAGGGGGGTGTGCTACAGAGCAGTTTTTTCCTTTTTGGGCTTACTTTGCCCAGCTTTTCCATGCGACCGTTGTCCAAAGACTCCCCCAGGTGGACAAACTCCACATTGCCCATGGTATTAAGAGGCATAAGGTATTTAGGGTTGTGTTTCTGCTCTTATTTCTAAAGGTGTTTTTGCACAGAAGACATCATGACTTCTAGAAATTAAACAGCAATCTTGCTGCCTTTTCATCCTCCAAGGAAGCCTGGGAGGTGTAAAGGAGTTTCCAGTTTGGGGTATTTGGATGCTCTGAAGGTAAAGTGGCATAGAGACAGGGATTTCCATTTTTCCAGACACTTTTCTCTTTTTAAGGAAGAAGGGTATGATCAGATATTGGTTCAGAAGTCACCAAGAGATCCGTAAGCTCCCTGAAATTGTCAAAGAGTATGAAATATGTTTTTTAACATAAACTGACAGCAATATCTAGCAAGAGAGCTCAATGGGCTCAGCCTCCATCGTGAGTTACGAATTTGGGGTCTGGCTTTTCGGATAACTTTGTGTGAACTTTTCATTGTCTTCTGAGAGAGGCTGGGGAAAATAATCCCGACAATTAGAGACTAGTGAGGTGAGGTTTCCACACAACAGGGAATGTCAACACATTTCCAAAATATTCATTACTGGTTTATGCATGCAAAGTGATTTATCGTTATAATAATAACAGTTTGTTATCTGAGACAAACACCTCGGGGCTAATAGCACCTATAGAATATGCATTTTTTGATGGAAGTGTCTCAGTTGTTCTCATAAACAGGATGTTGTTTTCAGGCCTTGACAACTCAAGGCGTTTTTATTTTCATTAACCAATATGGTGAGGTTTCCACACAACAGGGAATGTCAACACATTTCCAAAATATTCATTACTGGTTTATGCATGCAAAGTGATTTATCGTTATAATAATAACAGTTTGTTATCTGAGACAAACACCTCGGGGCTAATAGCACCTATAGAATATGCATTTTTTGATGGAAGTGTCTCAGTTGTTCTCATAAACAGGATGTTGTTTTCAGGCCTTGACAACTCAAGGCGTTTTTATTTTCATTAACCAATACATTTCTGGTTACATTCAAAAGCAGTCTCTTCAAAATGGATTAAGAAGGAGGCTTTGGTCACCTTGTGACTCTAAACTCTGAGAATCCACCTGAATCCTTGGGAAATAGGTGAGACTCAACAAGATTCAGCAATTCCTGTACATCAGTAGCCATGTGATTAAATTTTTTCCCCCATACTTAAGTCTTTCTTGATGTACTTTCATCCCAGGGCTTCTTCTCTTGTCCTTAAGCAAGTGTAGGTGGCAGCTAAACTCTTTCACCTTGGCATTTACCTTTTATCTGCAGAAATTATTACCTTATCTCCTTCCAGTCTTCCCTTCTGGAAGCAGACATCCTTCAGAGTTTATGTTTCTGAGCATTCTGGTGATTGGAGCCAGGCATGGGCAGCTGGTCAGTACCTAGAGCAAGATTGGGGAACCCCAAGCAAAATGACGTCCTCCGGCTGAAGCTGTGACAACAGGCAGTGGAACGAAGGACAGGAAGCAAATAACCAAATCATTGTGAACAAAACTGAACCCCGTGGTGCCTCTAACTAAGTGCTGGGGTGGATTTAGGGGCATGAATTAAAATCCCACACCTGGCAGTAGATAGAGCCAATATATCTTCAATACAGTGGTTGCTCACGCTGTCAATGTAACTCAAAGCTGAACAAACTAGAGCGAGTGGCAACCCCACATTAATACAGACAGAAGTGGGAGAATCACATCAGCAATTAATTTAAACAGTAAAAATGTAACATGAAGAGAACCCCGTAGCAGGTAACAGTATGTACCACAGAAAACTGAATAATGCCAGTAAACAATGCTAAAATAATTATAGTAATTATAAGGGTTACACATGCGGGAAAAATTGTTTGGGGAGTAATTAAGACCTCATGCACAAAGGTTGTCTCATCCTCCTGGAAGTTCAAGAAAGTATATAAATCTCAAAGGATTCAGGGCTCCGCTGGCCGTTTCTCTCGACTTCTTCCTGGACAGCTGGTAAGTCCCATTCAACCTCAATCTAATTATATTGAGTAAAACATTTCTTTAACATGAGCTGGGGTTTAACAGAATCTCCTTATTATTTTTAGAAACCTTTCTCAAAAAGTCTGCAAGAAATTACGTAGTTGTACCATGTTGGACCAAGTGCAGCCTTTAAAATATGTCTATGGGGACTGGCATTCTTATTTTAGAAAAAAAAAATAGTAATACAATTTTGTTATTATCAATTAGCTGTGTATAGCTACATGGTGTCCAACATAAAAGACATTTAAAGCTCTATTCAGGTAGAGTTTAGATAACATTATCATAGAATAGTTTGGTTTGGAAGGGACCTTTAAATGCTGTCTGGTCCAACCCCCCTGCAATGAGCAGGGACATCTTCAACTAGATCAGGTTGCTCAGTAACAATAGTACTACTATTTTTTCCTTAAAAAAAAAAAAAAAAAAGGAGAAAATTTTAGGTGTTTAAATTTGTTTTCCCTAAGTTTTTGTTCATAAATAAGCAAGATTGGGTATTAAAAGGGATAAAAAGGCACTAAAATCCTAAAATCTTCTTGCCTCCTTCCTTCCCTGCCAGAATGACCACCCAGAGCACAGTTAGAGCAAAGAGGCCATTTCACTAAGAAGTCACATCTCCCCAGTTTTCAACTGGTCATTCATGCAGGTCTGTTTGTGGCTGGAGCCTCTCTCTTTG